GGCGCATCTCTCTCTCTCTCTCTCAATCTCATCTCTCTCTCTCATCTACTCTCTCGATGGTTCTCGCTCTCCCCTCGCGCTCTCTCCCTCAGTCTCTTCTCTTCTTTTTCCTCTCTCTCTCTCGTCTCTCTCTCTTTTCTTTCTCTCTCTCGCTCTCTGCTGTCTCGTCTTCTCTCTCTTCTTTCTCTTTCTTCTCTCTCTCCCTCTCTTTCTCTCTCTCTCTCTCCTATCTCTTTCTCTCTCTCTCTCTCTCCTCTCTCTTTCTCTCTCTGCTTTCTCTCTAAATCTCTCTCTATCACTCGGCTCATGTGGCCTACTGTATGACATAAAGCTAATACTCTATGGTCTATGTTCCTATAAATATAATGTCTAGTTAAATATGTAGATATAACTGACTAATATAATAATAATGAAACACGAACTAAAGATATTTACAGATAACATAAAAAAAACTAAACGATTGCATAATTTAAAACGCAAAAACTAAAATACATTAATTAATGCACGATTAATGGAGGGAAATCAATTTTGAATCGATTAATCTAATTAAATTTAGTAATTAATTAATAATGAAATGGGTGATCTGCAAAAGTAAACGCTAAACTAGCGGGTTCGCGGTGAAGAAGAGCAGGTGACAATCAGTCTCAGAGGTCGATCGCCTCGATGGACCTGAACGGGAAGGTCGGACGCTGGTTTGCTGCCTCTGTGATCGAACGCAAGCGAAGAGCAGCGGGCAGACTACCGAACGTTGGACAAGTCACAGAATGCGCACTCGCCTACTGATAACCCTTCACATCTACCAACGAGGGTAAGAGGATAGTGCCTCCGGAATTAGTTGAGATAGGAGTTTGTTTTAGGGATGAAAAGGTTTACAGCTGTATAAAAGGTTATAGGGAACGCCGAAGATGACGCGCATACGCACGCATGCGCGCCGCGACACGGCACATGTGTGTTTTTACGCGGATGCCGCATGAAATCAAGCCGCTATTAAAAAGTGAGGAGAAATAGAAGCAGAGAGAGAGAGAGATGAAAGAAGGAGAGCAGCAGATAGAAGCAGAGAGAGAGAGAGAGAGAGAGAGAGAGAGGAAGAAGAGGGAGGACTTAGGACGAGCGAGAGACGGAGAGACGGCGAGATAGAGAAAGAGAGAGAGAGAGAGAGAAGGAGGAGAAGAAGAGGAGAGAAGATAATTAGAAAAAGGGAGAGGCGAGAGAGATGCGCGAAACAAACACAGATAGTGAGCGGACAAGGCGCGAGATATGAAAAAGGCAAGACAAGAGAGGCGAGCGAGTATTACAAAAATGGAGAGAGAGAGACATCTAAGCAGAGCAGAGAAGAGAGAGAGACGAGAGAGACATCGAGAGAGAGAGAGAGGAGAGAGAGAGAGAGCACGTGAGAAGAGAGACGGGAGGGAATGAGCAGAGGAAAAGGAGAGAGAGAGAACAGAGAGAGAAAAAGAGAGTGGCGAGGAAGAGGGAGAAAAAGACTGAGAGATGAGAACGAGAGACGAGAAAGATGAGCGGCCGACGCCGAGATGAGAGAGAAAGAGCAGATGAAGAGAGAACAAGAGAGCAGGGGAAGAAGAGAGACGGAGAGAGAGGGTGGCGGGAAAAAGCAGAGAGAGAGAAGAGGGGGGCAAGGGGAAGAGAGAGAGAGAGAGAGAGAGAGAGAGAGAGAGAAAGAGAGAGAGAGAACGATAGCAACGCAAACAAAGTGAGCGCAGAGACAACGCATTCGTAAAAACCAGCAGAGAATCGCTCTCTATTGTTCGTGTGCTGAACTATGACGTACCTATGACGTACCTATGACGTAACTCCCGCGTGCATGTTGCAGGGGAGGGTAAGCTGGTGCCGCTCAGCGCTCTAACGGAATGGCGATCACGAAACGGAAGAAGAAATACAGAGTCCGAAAGTAGCAGCGGTGATGTCAAGCAAACTACAATCACCCTCGTCTCGCCTACCAGTGTCGAAGATCATCCAGGTACAGGTCGAGTTAGATACAATAATGTACCCTATATATGAGTAGACTGGGTGCAATCATTGTAGCTAAGGCAGGGGTAGTAAGTAACGTTTAATCAAGAGAATTCGGCGGATTCCCTGCCCTTTAAAAGAAAGCGTCCGAGGCAAAATGAGGGGCTCGTGTTCCACAGAAAACAAAAACGTAGACAAGTGCTTATTTTGTATATTCGACATTAAACTATGAATCGATAGTTTTAACTTATTAACTTATTATAGATAACTTTAACTAATAATGAATGTTTAGCCATCCTGTCTCTCACCTGAGACCTCCCGTTCAATTCACTATCGAACATGGCGTGTAGATCCCGTCAGGGAGGTCTGCTGGGACCTCGATCAGCGAGGCTCCGTGGGAGAAATGGTCGTGCACCTGTGTCTACTGGCAGCCTCTCGTATTCACCTCGACCTCGCCAAGCGCATTCTTCACATCTACCCAAAACTCATCAACGATATCTACGTGGGAGAGGAATACTACGGTATGTGAGGTACCCAGTCAGCCATGCTCTAGTGATGACCACATGTATTATGTTTGTGTATTCGGATTAGTACAGACTTAGTCTATATATGTATATACTTATCTGTATCTTATATCTATTATACGCTTCTACCCAGTGTATAACATTAGTTTTGTTATAATTTCTTGTTGCTCCTCCGTCTCCTCCTCTTCTTCTTCTTCTTCTTCTTCATCATCGTTATCATCTTCTTCTTCTTCTTCTCCATCATCGTTATCATCTTCTTCTTCTTCTTCCTCCTCCCCCTCCTCTTCTTCTACGTCTTATTATTATTATTATTATTATTATATTTCGCAAAGACCCTAACGGTCGCTACTGCCTGCACGCAGTCTACCACTAACCCTGCCCCCAGCTGACATATTCATCCACCTTCCCCTCGTTCGCGTTCGCAGGAGAGAGCCTCTTGCACATGGCTATCATGAACGAGGACCCGGTGATGGTGAGGTACCTGCTAGACCACGGCGTCTGTCTGCACGAGAGATGCTGCGGAAGCTTCTTCACTCCTAACGAGTGCAAGCAGCGACGCGGCAGGGCCCTGCATCAGGAGTGAGTCGTCGGCCATATTGGATCGTCGCTTCATCTAGATAATATACAGGACAGTTGTCCCCACGCCCAGATGTAAATGTGCATACATTACATGGTCACGCGCGCACGACGGGAGCTGTGCGCGCGCGCGCGCGCGCGCGTGCGTGCGTGTGTGTGTGTGTGTGTGTGTGTGTGTGTGTGTGTGTGTGTGTGTGTGTGTGTGTGTGTGTGGCAGGCGACAGATAACCACATCTAAGTGTGGGCTTAAGCCACCGGGGGCCTAGGGCCTCGCTGGCGGAAAAATACACTGTGCAAGTGATGCAGCCTACTTTTCTTTGCTGGAGGCGGTATAGCTTACAACCAAGGCTTACCACACACTACTATATAGGAGGCATTCTACTACTATATAGGATGCCTTAGGCCCCCTTCATACACAATACTATATATGTGGCCTTGGTGGGCCGCCAGCATACACTATATTACAATACTATATAGATGGCATTAAACCACCGTCATATACAATACTATATATGTGGCCTTGGGTTCCAATCATAAACTATTCTATTATTACAATACTATATATATGGCCTTAGGCCCCCGCCATACAAATACTATATATGTGGCTTTGGGCCCCCATCATACACTATTATTACAATTCTATATAGGTGGTCTTAGGCCCCCGTCATACAAATACTATATATGTGGTCTTGGGTCCCATACCCTATAACGTGCTACTAATAACTTACCGAGTGCTTGACTGACGCTTGTCTTGTTTTTTTCTTATTTAATGCTATATCTATGCCTATGGGTAATACAATCGGCATAGACCATAGTAACTTGTTTTAGCATTACTAAAATACGTAAACAAAAACAACTATTTACGGTCGCGGAAGGGTTATTGTCGGAGTGAGCTGACGGGGGCTGGAGGCCACCGGCGGGGGACGAGGTGGCCTAAAGCCACACTTGGATGTGGATGTCTGTCGCCTGCGCTGCGTATCCCAGCCAGTACACAATCTGGCTACGTTAGTGTGTTAGCGCATGCGCAATATCATACCAGAGAAGTTATATTTTGTGATGAATATACATTTAAAATGGTTAGGGGATATCTCAGCATAGATTTCCCTAATAAACTTTTATCAGTAGACCTGTGTTTATAATTAGGAGAGCGCCCTAGAATGTAGGGTACAAAACACTTACATTATGCACTCGCGTCCTCCCCCTTGCCTCCCCTGTCCCTCGCTAAGCCTCCTTCTTCTTCTACCGCCCCAGCTATCTTTCCTGCCGCCTTTCCTTAGTCTCCCATTCCCTCTTCCCCGCAGCAAGCTATGTTATGAAGTTTGCCTCAGACGGCACTGCACGCCTAACACGGTGCTCGCGCATGCGCAATATCTTCCGAGAGAAAT